ATATTGGGCCTATGATTGTCAAGCATCGTAAAAACAAAAATACAAAATAAATTAATTAATACCCAGTCCGAAACACACGCACCAAACAAACTTTAAAAATACACAACCCTTTAAAAATTACTTTCCAAACATAAAGCACTAGTGCGTATATCGGCATTACTTGGAGGCAGTTTATCGCGATCGAAATGCAGAACAATACGGCGCGACCAAACAGAAGGCGCGACCGAAATGATCCCTTCTCTTTGGTGCTCGAGAAAAGTCTTATTTCTTCACCGGAATATAGTTTTAGATAGCCAATAAATTGTAGGGTACAAATACATCGCCACTTCTCCAAAGCTCCGCAAGAGTTTTTCGTTGTGTTCATGCACAAGGAAATCGCGGGCGTGTGTTGTCGTAAACAAGAGGTTAACTTTTGATATGTCGATATCATGTCATGAGCACACTTAAGTAATTATTTAATCACAATCTGTTTATCTGGACTGTTAATCTAAAGAACTAGGTTGATAGGTTGATGTCCTTGGTTCTAAGGTTACACTCTACAGTTGGCCCTAAGGCAGTTTCTATCTACCGCGGTAGACTTGTATGCAATGTGATATGCAAATTTTCTGCATATACAGCCTTGTGTCTACCGCGGTGCGGTAGATAAGGCTTACCGCGGTAGGATAATTTGGCGACGCTCCCTTAGTAGTACAATACTGTAATTACTACTGGTAATGGTATTTTTTAAAGCTTTAAAAAAAATCCTAATTTTTTTCCAGATGATTTTAGCGATCATGATGATCATGCAGCTGAAGATGATGTCCAGCCACATGTTGAAGACCTATTGACTGAGGGCATTTCAAAAAAGGTAATTAAATATAGGTAGAATTGTTACTGATACTTATGTAGGATTGTTCTTTTCAATTATTAAATTATATAAGCTTATACATATTGCAATGATTTGATCATTATAATATACAAATAATAATAATTATAAAAATATAATTAAATACATTATATAATAAGTTTTTCACTGGATTATTAATACAGACTTAGCCAGATTTGTTCAAAAATGTATTTAGTGATGCTTTTATTTATTTGTTTTATATTGTTATTTTTCAGATTCCAAGTCATGATAAGGTTGTAGCTGATTATATCCAGGAGCAACCACACAAATGATATGCAACAAGTACCTTTATATACTTCTATATTATTTTCCACAGTATGTGAAACAGACGGTACTCCAGGCCTGTTACTACAGAAATGTCATGATATCAGCCATTTTGGATTTTTTTTTATTATAATAAATTCACTTATTACAAATTATTATTTTTTTGTCTGTTATATTAGTAGAGTATGGTACAACTCAACATTATGACCAGCTGAAAAAAAACCAAAAAATCTTACAAAAAAACATTATTTTGTTTAATAAAATATGTCCATAAACAGAGCTCCAAGAATGCAGGAGAGGCCATTTCCAGGCATCTAGAAAAAATTTTTTCCAGACCACGCCAAACCCCCCCTCCCCACTCTGAACTTCGATGATAAATTGTGCACCTGCTACTTTTCAGATTCAGCCTCCTACTTCCAAAACTTTTGAAATCCCTGGTCCAGGAAAACAAGCAAAAAAACCAAAGTACACGGGTAAAATACTTTTTAAAACATTGGTAGGTTAAGGAAGGTTCATAGAACCATCAGAAGACGTTTGATTTGATTTTCATGTAAAATACACATCTGTTAAATATACGTAGAGTTTTTACAGGCTAGGCCTCGGCCCCTGATAGTTGTTGCACGACAGCGCGACATGGCTTGATGTGATGATTGAGTGAGGCCTGACTGTAAACGTTCAGCTCCGTGCTGTCGTCAAGTCTTTTACTTGTTTAAAATTCCAGTCTGCCAAAGTTATTTCATGAGTTTTGCAACAAGCACATTCATCGACCGAGGCCATGATTCACCGTGAGTGAATACACGGCTGCCGTTGTTGTGCTGTATTACACAGGCAGACACGACCAATGTACGTTTTATTCCCAAAATAGTACGATTTATTCTCGTTATATTTCACATTTGGCATACACAATCGTAGAGAAAAGATGACGTTACATTCATAAACATGTAATAATGGTTTCTGTAAATTTAAATTACGCTCAACTTTACACACAAAGCGTGTATGAGATGTTTTAGTAAAGGCTATTTTCTTAAATTACTCTTCGTGCGTTTGTTTTGGTTCGAATACCCACTATAGCTGAACTGCTTCGATTGCTAATTCGGTCTATTACATATTTATATAGAGGTATTTTATTGGTTGTACGTTTATTTTATTTCAACCACTTTTATTGTTGTAGCTTAGGATCCGCTTAGGCTAGCTGGTACACATTTGCTGGAGATGTCCAGACCATACAATTTTGTCGTAGTACTGTACATCTTGCACAGAAGACAGGGTTAGACGTTTTCTCAGATCTGCCATAGATATTTGGTCAGTGTACAGTAAGCTTTACTGAGCGAGTCCATTATGGTTATTGTTCAGAGTGGTTATTGTCCAGGGTGGTTTTTATCTGATTACATTAGGCTCTAGTAGACCATAGGCAAACCTACTGCAGCTACTCAAGGTGCATGCCTGTGGAGGCTTGACCAATGTTTTTTTAATGTTAAATATGTTGCAGCAAAAAGAAACAAAGTTTACCAAATGTTTTAAGAGTTGAAATAAAAACTCCCTACCCTCAAATTGTACACATTTCAAAAGAAACAAGACTTTCCTGTTATTACTACTATACCCTAGTAGCTGCAGTACACTATTTTGCAGGAAGTCAATTCCCTCCACCTGTAGTGTAAGGTTCATATGTGGCACACTATAGGCCCAACATTTGCAACTCTGGAAAAATAACATCATTGAAAAAAGATTGTAATAGCTAATGGGAATTTGATTAAATTTTCCTGAGCATTTGGTATTACCCGTTTATAGATGTATCTATGTTCAGATGACATGCATTGCGCAAAATCCCATTTAGCCACTGTATGCTACAACCTGTGTATTCACATCTTAGTGCAAGGAAAAGTTACCATTCGTCTTGGTCAAAATTAATCCAGTGTGAACATGGCTTAAAAGTCAATCAATTAGTCGATTCTAAACAATATTTTGACACCTTGTAGGTTAGATTGGATTTATTTCGAAATCCTCAACTTAGAACAGAGAAAAAAATTAGACATTATATGGTTTATATAAGTATTTAAGCTTCTATAAAAAATTGATAAATTTGAAAATACTGTAAAACTATAGAGTATTTGTTTATTACAATTAATATCATATAACATTTAGTATTATGACACTACAATTACAACAAATGTAGGCTTACAAACTTGATAATAAATTTGAATATAATTAACAAATATTGACTGCGCCTGAGGGGAATGGTGAAATTTATTGCCCTGAGGTGATGTGGAGACAGTAGCCTATCTTACCTCGGGCCACCTATCTTAGATAGGCTATGGTCTCCACATCAACGAGGGGCAATAGATTTCACCGTTCCCCAAATGTAGAGCGGTCAATATTTGTTCTATATAAAGTACCTCATACATATATTCTATAAGGCTTAAAAAGGTACTTACTTCCTAGCCTAGCCTAGAGGCCACTCTAACTACAACACTAGCCTAGGCGATCAAAGAGTATGTCTGGCTATTCTTTGTTCATTTACTTAATTTTTACTTAATTTGTCTTTTGGTGCTTTTACTATCAGCTCATCATGAAGTAATGCTAGGTCTAGGCTAGTCCTTCATCCAGGAGCTCAAACTGACTAGGCCTAGCCTGCATATGTTTATTGTCTACTTGCTGATCAGTGGCGCGGTCAAGGGCCAATCTCTTCATTGTAGATGTCGCAGTCCCCTTTAACATCAGCGCGATGTTAAGTGGGCCTTAAGTTTGCATATCTTGGGACAGGTTAAAAAACACTATTTTTCAGGGGAATAGTACTTTTTGAGAGGGAAATTGCCAGCTTCCTAACCAATTAGATAACTAGAATCTATGTATGAGGTATATAAAGTGTATTGTTTATAAATTTAACTAACATTCAATTAAGAGTTACTGTATGTTCAATTACAATACCTGATCTAAATATAATAAATGATATAAATATAGTTTACAATATACTGATTTTCCATGATACAGATAAATCAAGTTGGCAAGATCTTTACCAGATAAAAATGTATATGGAGCTAATCTATAACCGATCACAACAACTGTTAACAGAGATTCAAGATTTTGAAAAGAGTAAGTATATCATGGTGATTATAGTTGCTCGCCTTCTATTCTAATCATCCTTGTTCAATCTCGAATTTAACATTTTGCAAGCGTAAGTGTTCAGCTCTTAATGCTGTACACCACAGTTCAAAATCAGGCTTAGATATCAAGATTTGAAATTGAGTCTTATATGATTTACCCTCATTTGAGAGTTTGGCAAGTTAAACATGCAATGCTTTTATCTGTTTTGTATACTGACTACATAGATTCTGGGCATTTGATTTGTTAAAAGCTGGGCAATTGTTCCGGCCATGTCCTCTAATGCCAACAATCAAAGTAGTAGTAGTGTATATAAAACAAATATTTACTGGGTTTTAAGTCATTGTTCAAATATAACCCTCGGTGATTGGGAGGCTGTACTATGCCCCTCATCTTCATCTCGGGACATAGTACAGCCTCCAGATCACCTTGGGCTATATTTTGAACTAAGCCCGTCAACCCACTGCATATTTGTATGTTATATGTTGGTTTGTGTTGCAATATAGCTGCTGCAGAGCCCCAAAGGCCAAGGCAAAGTTGACTGTTTCAGTTGAAAGAGGACAAGCAAGAAATTAAAAAAAAATATGTACAGTATTATAAACTTCCCTCTCCAATCCTTATAAAGTAGTAACTTTATGTGACATGGGTCTGTAACGAACAGCTTTGTGTGGTTATGAACATTTAATGTGGTAAAACAATTGTTTTTTTTATGTTACCAATGGAGATAGCTATGGCCTTGTGGTATTCCCAAAAGTTACGTTTGGTTTCCAATACCTATATAAAATATGTTCCATGGTACTGTGTGGCAGAAGGTTCTCATTGGGAATAAAGGGTAGGATTTATAAAGCCTGTGTATGATCAGCAATGGTGTATGGTGCCGAAACATGGAACATAAAGACAACTGAAGAGGGAATTTTGAGAAGAACAGAAAGAGCAATGATAAGAAAAATGTGTGGTGTTAAGCTGGCAGAAAGAAGGAACACAAAGGAGCTTATGGAACGTCTAGGTC